ATTTAAACCTACACAAATCTGAACCACAGATAACCTTCTTGCTCGGCAGGTTCTCAGAGGTCTCTCCCACCTTCATGCTTGCTCTTGGTCTCTGATATCAGTCTAGCTTCCCCCTCCATTCCACTCATAGTATACATAGCTCAAATCCAGCTCAGTTTCACTTTACAAGGGAACACGTGTGCTTTCCCCACAGCTGTCACATAAGCCTTAGACAAAGTTCCTAGAACACACCCCCAAAAAACTAATGCTACCTTACTGCATATTCCTCCTCACAACTCTTCTGCTGAGACATGACAAGACAGATCTTGCCACCATACTGACTGCTGACTGTCCCTAAGCTACCTTGCGTTCTTCCACCTGCACTCTTCTCCCATGATCCCAATGTCCTTTGGATCAGAGTCCCCTACACAAGTGCACAGTAATTCATGTCTCAGGCAGCGCCTGAGGACAATGCATCACGGCAGCTGCTTATGAGACAATGTAATGAGCTGGGCTGCCAGAATATCCCAGGTCATAAAAATATCAACTCCTTATCGTCATCGCCACCAAAGCCTGTATTCAGCAAAGGCTGTGAGGCACTACATAACACTCGTACAGTTGGGTAGTAAGCCAAAAGGTCACAGCATACCCTCTTACGCTCCTTTTGCTCCCTGTGCTTGCGCACCAGTTGGCTGCCTTTCCGGGCTATGATGGCCAAATCTGAGGTGGCATCCTTGACAGGGATGACTGGCTCTGGCTAGAAGAAAGATATATGGCTTCAGTACAGAGAGCTCCTACTTGTGGCACTCCCTGCCATCAGCGCCTCCAGCCACAGCCTGTACCTGCTTGGTGAAGACAATACGTCCATCTAGGAATGGGGGCACGAGGTTGTGCACCAACAGATGCACTTTAGCAGAGTTATCCTCCTCAAAATCTTCATCCACTTCAATCCGATGAACCACACCACTGGTCAGCATGCGATTCGTCTCCCAGCGCTCGTTATCCTGCAGGAAACAACATATCAGAAAATGCACAGAAGCCCCATAAAAAGCTTGAGAGATAACACTAGAACACCAAACTCAGGTCTGTGCCCTGCATTGACAATAGGATGAAAGTGATGGTTCCAGGCTAGGGACCCCGACAGTAAGCACTAGGGAAGAAACAGTAACTGGCAGCAGCAGGGTACAGGAACCACAGACTGGCTGTAAGAAGCACATGGTCAACAGGACTGTCTCCAAGGAAGGGCAGGACAGACACTGTCCGTAAGGCCCCTGCCATACTCAGAATACAATAGGAAACCCAGACACAATCCTGCTCATGTGCTGAGGGCACCAGTCCCCAGCGTCCACTGGGCCAACAGTAGACAACGCTCGTAATGTAACTCACACCCCAAACCAGCAGGAGCATAGCCCTCCGCATTGCTGCTGCCCTGGACACTACGATCCACCGCAGTTGCTCTGAATGCGAATTCTGCCCCACACAGGGCTGCACTTTCCAGGGGAACTTAATAGTTTCCCTGTGAGCCCTCATTCAGTCTGGGCCAGGACACAGACTGTCTTTCTCCACCTGAGAGCAAGGGCTCAGCCTTCGCTGCCAGCAAGCGGATCTCTCAAGGGGCAGTAAAACACAGACATTCAGAGCAGCTGACCCGCATCTCGCCCCCACCTCATTGATCTGTCGCCGCTGTGCCGAGATGCGCTTCTGCCTCTGCTTGTGCAAGTGCTGCTCCCGCTTCTTCACGTACTCCTCAGATGAGTAGGCCAAGGGGTTGTGAAACTCATCGTAGCCCTCATCCATCATGTACCAGTCCCGATCAGCTTGCTGGGAGGGGAGAGGCACGGCCCTCAGCTCCGCTGGCCCCAGGGCCGGGCAGTCCCTGCAGCACACGCCTGCGGAGACGCTCTCCGGGCCAGGCCGGGCCAGTTGCTCCCAGTAAGGCTGCCGTGGGGACCCCACCGGCTGCCACCCACTCCAGCCCAGCAGCCCCAAGCCCACCACCCGCCCCACTCCTCGCCCGTCTTCAGGCTCTCACCCGCTGGTCGTCCTCCCACTGCTGCCGCTCCTCCTCCGTCTCAAAGGCGATGCCCTCCTCCCCGTCCGCACGCCGCCCTGGAGAGGGTGAGCGTCTCAGCCCGGGCACCTGCCCTGCCGTGCCAGTGGAAATCCCAGAGCCCGACCCTATGCGGCACAGGGGAGGGTGGTTCCACCAGTGCCGAGCCCAGGCCCCTCACCTCTCCCTCTGGACAGCCGCGGCGTGGCCCCCAGGTGCCTCCGGTCGTCAGCCCACTCATTGTATTTGTATGATGGGGTGGGCAAGGGTGTCTTATCCGAGTACCTGCTCCTCACGGACCTGAAAAAACAAGAGGGGGGAATTGGTGCCCACAGCCAGGCACTACTCTTTCACACGCCCTCCCCGTTCTGCAGCTCAACAGCTCACAGCCACAGCCCCAGGCACCGGTACCTGTCCCGGTCTCTCCGGTCCGTGTCCCGCAGTGATGATGTCCGGTGGCTGCGCTCTGAGTCTCGAGAGGAAGGCATGGGTGAGGGGGATTCCCACTGTGAGCGACGGGCACTGCTGTAGCCACTATCATCTTCCTCCCAGCTGGAGCGAGACGGCGTGGCTGCATCTAGCAGAGGAGATGGGGTGTGACACCTGACCTCCAAGCAGCGACCCCAGGCACCTGGAGTCACCTTACACCTCCCAGCAAGGAGCATGGAGAGAGGGTACCTGTTTGCCCACCCTCTAAGAGAAAGGGCTGAACCAGCAAGTCCAAGGAAAATTGCCAAAGGACCACGTTTCTATCCCATAGACCCAGAATAGACCCTACCACACAGAAATCAGCCAGATTTCTTCACACATACAGCTGGCAGATTGCTCCCAGACCCAGGCTGAGCTAGGAACTTGCCCTAACCACAAACATCAAAAGATACAGGCTTTTCTAAGCACACTTGCCCTGACAAAACAACAACAACAACAAAAAAAAAAAAAAAAAAAAAAAAAAAACCAAACAAGCCCCTTCTTGTCAGGTTTCACACAGGAACTCTACCGGGTCCCCCACTCCTACCTTTGGGGCGATGTCTGGGACTCTCCGGTTCGCTCCTCCTGCTGCTTCGCTCTGATGAGCCATCTCTCTCTGATCTGCTGCTGTGACGACTCCTGTCCCGCTCCTCTGTGAAAAGAAAGTCAGATCATCTGCCCCATGCACAAACAGGCTTCCCAAGTCTACCACAGAAAACACCACAAACATTAGCTGAGGACTACAAACAGGCTGAGGGAAAGCCCAAACCTTAAGCAGGAAGAGTCACAAAAGTCTCTGAACAGTTACCGCGGTCCCGTTTATGATCGTGGTCCCGATCCCTACTGCGCTCCTTCTTGTGTTCCTTCTCCTCCTTGGAGGAGGCAAAGACACCGTGCTCCCGACGCTCCCTTTCCCGCTGCCGGCTGCGTTCCCAGAACTCCTCGCTGACACCCCCAGTGTAGGAAGGTGTTTCCACATGGACAGAACGGTAATGCCTAGAAGGGCAGAGAGAAGAAAAGCTCAGAAGCGCTGAGAAATAGCTCACCTTTGCCTTGTCTCATACAGCTCTAGCTCTAATCCCTGCTACAGAAGCTTATGGTGACAAGTGCTCTCTCCATCCCTCACTAACAGCCCGCCAAGCCCATTGGTGCTCTCAGATGAGTGCGCTTCTGGGCAGGCTGCGGGCAGAAGCCAGTCTCACGGCTAGGAGGGCTGCTGTTTGCAAGCATAACAGCACGTAAAAGCACTCCTGCTTCTAATGCCTCAGGGAGGGCTCCAGTGAAAGAGCCTCTCCGAGACCACCCCAGAGCTAGAGGTGCTCCCGTGTCCTCCCCCGCCCGTGACAGGGCACAGACACCCACAGTGCCCGCAAAGCACCGGGTGCCGCCAGGACCCCCCCGTGCAGACCCCACCTGTCCTTGCGAGCGCTACGGCTGCTGCGACCGATCTCCTCCTCCTCCTCCTCCTCCTCGGGGCTGCCCGCCTCCTCACGGCCCTCTTCCCAGTCCTTGTAGGAGGACACCCGGGACCGCTTTCCACCGGCCGCCTCCTCCTCGCGCTCCCGCCGCTTCTGGGCCGCCAGCACGTCTAGGCCCAGCAAGGAGGCCCGCGGTGCCGGCGCCTTGAAGACGTGCTGCTCGACGGCCGCGCTGCGCTGCCGCAGGACCAGTCCGCCGGCCTCGGCGCCCGGGACCGTCCCCGCCAGCCGGTGCAGCGACTCCTCGCTCGGCTCGGCCATGGCGGCCGGTGCTGCCCGGGCCCTGGCGCCCCCACAGCCCCCGCCCCGCTCGCAGTCGCCTCAGCGACCGGGAACCCGCTCCCTGCGCGCCGCCATGGCCGCCCCACCGTGCCCCGCGGGGGGGGGAGCCGCTCTAGCCGCTCACACCATAGACAGAGCGGGAGGAGCCCGCAGGCGCCGCGACCGCCATAGAGTCGAACCGGCGCTAGACAAGACGCACGGCCGGTCCCGCCGCGGACTTCCGGCGTGGGGATACTTCGTAGGGTCACGTGGCCGCGGGAGGACTTCCGGCCGCTAGGGGCGCGGCGGGAGGAGAGGGCGGGGACCCCCCCCGGACACCCCCGAACACGGGGTCGGAGCAGGATAACCCAGCGGACACCCCCGCACACGGGGAGTGGCGTAAGAACACCATGGACAGCCTCACGTACACGGAGGGGGCTGGGCGGGACAGGAGAACCCCACGGACACCCCGGCACGCGGGGGGGGGGGGGGCGGCAAGAACCCCACGGACACGCCTAGCACACAGGAGCGGGAGGGTAGGAACCTCACAGACACCCCCACGCACGGGGGCGAGGATGGGGAGGGAGAACCCCACGGACACCCGCACACACGGGAGCGGGGGGGGGGAGGAACCCCCCCCAGAGCCCCAGGCAGCCCCTGAAGCCAAGGGCCCCCCACCCCCCCGGGGAAGCCCTGGGGAACCCCCCCCTCCCGCACACCCCCAGAGCTCTGTGCACAGACAGACAGACAGACAGAGCCTGCAGCAGGGTGCAGGGCAGTTTTATTCCCCCGGGCCTCAGCTGGATGCCACCGTCTCCTTGACCCAGGCCAGGACGCGCTGCACGTCCACATACACGCCATACTTGGAGGCCGTGCAGGTCTTGTCGTAGCTGAGGATGCCGGCTGCATACCAGGTGTCATCATCGGGGTCGCGTACGGCGAAGGCGCCGCCGGCGTCCCCATAGCATGTGTCCTCCCGCAGCTCGCTTATGCCCACGCAGAAGGTGTCGTTGCCGAGGGTGGGCTGCACCCAGTAGGATGCGTTCCGTGCCTCGTAGTACTGCCTGCAGCTCTCGCCCTCCGCCACCGGCAGCATCACGTACTTCAGCATGTCGGGAAAGGCAAAGGCGGAGTCGCGGCCCCAGCCCGAGACGTAGCCCACCCGCCCTGGGTGCACGTAGTCTTTCTGGGGCAGGCAGATGGGCATCACCTCCTCTCCGAGGGGCACCTTCTGCTTGAGCTTCAGCAGGGCCAGATCCACCGCCTCGGGGTAGGCAGGGTGCAGCACCACACGCTCCACGTCCAAGGCAGGCTGGTTCTGCTTCTGGCTGCCCAGGAAGAGCTGCAGCGTAGGGGCTATCTCCTCTGGCTTGGCATTCTCAGTGTGGTTCAGGTAGACGTTCCTGCCTGTGGTCAGCAGCCACTGGTCGCCGATGAGCGTGGCCCCCACGGTGAGGTTGTGGCGGGTCACCAGCCGGCCCTGCCAAGGGAAGCTGCCCTTGCGAGCCAGCAGGCCCCCGATGATGCGCTGCATCTGCTGGGGGGGGTTCTTCGGCTTCCCACACACTGCACAGGGCAGAACGGAGCCCTCAGGTGAGGCGCCGGATGCCGGAGCAGCCCCGGGAAGCAGCACTGAGGATGGGGGTTTCCAGCAGCCCCTGCAGCCCTTCAGCTGCCCAGACAGACCACTCACAGCCCCCCACCCGCCCTACACCTCGCAGCCCTAGCCCCTGCTCCTTGGCTCTCACCTGGCTCGCAGACAGGCACCTCCTGTGCCTGTGAACCTTCAAGGCTCACCCACACATGATCCTCGCCACACTTGTACGTGCCTTTGGGGGGAAAACAGAGTCAGCACCCCTGCCCTGCAAGGGTGGGGAAGGGCCCCACAGCCAGGGAGGCATGGAGGTACCTGGACCTCCCCAGGGCTTGGGTGAGCAGGGCTAGCCACTGGTACCCCCAGGGAAGGCAGGGAGGATGGGGCTGCATCGTCCGTCATTGAGGCAGCCCCCCCATGCAGCCCCTGGAGCCAGGGACGAGGCCCATCCCCAGGTGCTGTGCTCGCGCCACGTGCCTCACCATCACCAGAGCCACGCAGCTGGTAGTACGGGTCGCAGCGGTACTTGATCAGGTGCTCCACGTAGCCATGCTTGATCTCTGCAGGCTTTGCGCAGCTCCACTCTGCGGGCAGAGGACACTCAGCTGGCCCAGGGGAGCCAGCCCAGGACACTGCCCCCACCTCTGGCCAGTCCCTCTCCAGTCTCGTCCCCCCACACCTGCCTCCCGCCAAGCTCCCCCCGGCTCTGTCCAAGCCCCAGTGCTCCCACCCTTGCCCTGGAAGGTACCGCTGCCCGTTGCAGTTCCCAGCACGGTCCAGGCCAGGCCGGCAATCAGCAGCACGGCAGGTCTGCGGAGAAGAGAGGGCACACTCAGCGCAGGGCGGCTGCACTCCATGGGCTCCACCAAGACCAGTGCCTCGGCCAGGCTCGTGCCCTGTCCTGGGTGCTCCTGACCCCGGGGGCCGAGGGCTGACCCCGCACCCCTGGGGCTGCCCAGCAGACACAGCCTGGAGAAGTTGTCTGGGCCAGACCTGGGCCCTGCTGATGCGGAGGACGAGGCTGCGGCGTTGCGACCCAGCACACTTGCAGGCCCAATGCAAGCCCTGCCACAGCCCACAGCAGGGCCAGGTCCTCAGCCAGGCACGCCGCACAGACACAGCACCCAGCACGTTGCTCACCCCATGCTCATAGCTCGCTCTCCTCCCGGCAGCCTCCTTCTGCAGGTTGCTGCTGCGCAGAGCTCCCTCCTCATCCCTTTTATTGCCACCTCCCTCACCCTGGTGTGGCCCCGTGTGCTCCAGACCTCCTGACCCTGCCATATGCAGCCAGCACCTTTCCCAGCAGGAAGAGCACAAAAATCCCCACCTGGCTCCCAGCCGGCCTGGCAGAGGCTCCCGGGGAGCCAGCCAAGCCCCCACAGGAAGCCAGCGTGCCAAGAGTTTCCGGGATTTTGCAGCTACAAGAATGCAGGGAGGGATCTGGCCGCAGATGCTGGTGCCGACACCAGCTGAGGTTCACAGAGAGCAGAACCAGACTCTGCCCCCTGGCAAACCGCCCTGTGCCACCATACGGCACAGTCGCTGTGGGGGCACTGGGCAGCCCCACAGGGCGCAGGCAGCTGCCCCAGTGCTGCTGGAGAAGCTGGGGCACAGGAGCCGAGCCCCATCCCATCCTGCGCCTGGCTCTGCCTGCAGCCAGGGTGCACCCTGCCAGCCACCCCACAAAGCCCAGGGTGCAGTGGGGCTCAGCGCTGCCAGTGCCCTGGGCAGCGCCAGCCCGGCTGGCTGAGGGGTACAGCTTGTCCCATGCCAGCTCACCGCAGGCTGCAAGGGACTGTGGCCAAGCTGACCTCTCTTCCCACAAGTACCCACCCCTCCCCGCCCCACATCCCAGCAGCTCCTGGCCCCTTGGGTGAACGTTGTTTGTCAGCAGAGGCAAAGGCCCAGCCCATCCTTACGGGAACTCATAGCAGCAATCGCTGGCCAGTGCCCAGCTGGACGTGACCGGCCAGCAGCAAGGGCGCGGGGCAGGGCAGAGCACATCAGCCTGCTCTGGCAAGCGGAGTCTGCTTCCAGCACGGAGGGGAGGGGACAGGCACCCACCCTCTTACCTACCTCAGGGTGCTGGTGTTGCGGTGAGGCCACCCCAAAACCAGCCGGCCCCAGCCCTAAGCCACTGAAGCCTGGCCTGCTGGGTGTCTCACCAGCACCCCTCCTGCCCCTTGGACACTCCAGTCCTTCAGGCTCAGGAGGGACATCTGCGTCTGGTCCCAGACCCTCCAGAAGAGAGCTTTCCCATCCTCTGCAAGCTTTCTCCCATCTCACGGGGCGCCTGTGCCCCTAAACAATGTGGGGCTTGACATCGCTGGCCCAGCACCAGCCATACTCATGCAATCACACTCAAAACACAGAAGGCTAGAGTGCATCAGGGTTTGACAGCTCCGATCCATGAACCACTCCAGCATTTAGAAAGGTGTAGTGGCATCTGATGATAATATGCTTAGATAGCTTGTCCCTCTGCAGGAGACTGCCATGCCTTCCTGACAGGGGGGAAAAAGCAACACACGACTGCCTTGGTGCCCGCCCAGGGTTAGCTTGGGCCACGGAGCTGCCTGCGGGAAGTTGCCCCAGCCTGCCCATGGGGCATGGACTGCAGCTCACACACCGGGCTACGGCAGCACAGGGCCATGCTCGAGGCCAGTGCCACCAGCAACTGCCATGCAAGGCACTGAACGTCTCCAAGCCACAGTCAGGAATCAGCTGCAGAGCACGGACAAGAGTGCAGTGGGACAAAGCGAAACTTGAGCTCCCACTGGCACAACAGCCACCTTCAGAATGGGAGGACAAAAGCCTCCCAGGCCCTCTGCAGAGAAAGCACATCGAAACCTTGGCCAACAGACCAGGTCACATCCCTGTAAGAGCAGCAATAAGCAGCACCTCCCTGAAGCAGAGAATCTAGGAAACGAAGTGGCAGGTGCAGAGGGCTGCTGAAGCAGGGGACCAGGCAGGCAACAGCCCTGATGTGAGCAGAGGGCCACGAAGAGCAGGGTCAACAGTCCTGCTCCTCCTGTAAACAAGTTTGGTAAAGTGCTGTGACGCAATCCTGCTCTGCAGGGCGGACTGCAAGAGGCTGCAGAGGGAATGCTGCATCCAAGTCAAGCAGTGCTGCTCAAGAAAAGCCTGAGATGACTGCAGGGAGCCCAGGGTAAAGCAGCAGCCAACACCAGAGGCACCAAAGACAAAACAACAGCCTCCAGAAGCATGAATAAACAGGGTCTTTCCACAAGTGACAGGGCGTAACCACAGCTGCCTCCAAACAGCTATGTACTGGCTGCAAAGGGAAAAAACAGCACCCAGAACCTCCCAAGGGCCCAGCCTCGGGCAGAGGTCTCTGCAAAGGGAGCCCTGGTGAGCTTTGTGGGGATGATCCCAAAGACGCTGCAGCTTCTAGCACTGGGAAAAGATGCACTGACTAGGGACAACATAGAGAGCCGATCCCACTCGTCTGAGGAGAGCCGGGCTGCGTCCCCCTGGCCCAAGGGGTGTCCCCAAAGCAGCACACAGGACCAGGTAAGCCAAGCATTTATTGACACTCAGGCAGGACCCAGGACCAGCAGGTTTGTTACAGGACAGCGTGTGGAGGAGGGAGGGAGGGAGGAGGAACAGATCCTCCTGTGGGGGCTGCGGGGCAGAGCAGGCAGCGTGGGCTGCAGGGTCCCAGGCAGAAGGGACACCCAACACACTGCTCACTTGGCCCAGGGCTCTGGGCAGCAACACCAGGGAAGGTGTGCCCCCCATGGGGAAGCGCTCCAGCAGGAGCCGGGGCACAGGGCTGGCCCCTCAGGGGCCTTTCTCACCGTCCAGCACTGGTTTCTGCTGGGGAGCCCAACCCAGAGAAAAGCCAAAACACAGCCCTGGACAGCAGCAGCAGTGTGGAGGCCCCTTCCCTGCTCACCACCAACGTGGCCCCAGCTTCACCCATCACTGACCATTCTCAGGGGCTGGCACCAGAACCTTGGCTCGGTCCCAGCCGGTTCAGCACTGCAAGCGTCAAACCTGTCCCTGCTTGGCCACGGCTCCTCCCAGCTAGACCTTGGTTCTGCAGTGTGTCAGCACCGGTGATCTGCTCCGACTGCCTCCATGATGCTCCTGAAGCCCTGCTCCCTAACCAGGGACAGTGTGTGACGGCTGGGCCAGTCTGGCACTGCGGCCATGCCCCGCGGTGCTTGTGGCTCACTGCCCGCAGCCACCTCAGGCCCAGGGGCTGCCTGGGGGGGGTGCCTGGCCCCCCACTCACCTCAGCAGCTCCTCTAGCTCCCGCTTCACCGACCCCACCACCAGTGGCCCGTGGTACACGAGCGCCGTGTACATCTGCACGAGCGAGGCTCCGGCACGGATCTTCTCCAGGGCATCGCTCCCGCTGCTCACCCCCCCCACCCCGATGATGGGCACCCGGCCTGCGGGCAGCACAGGGTCAGGACAGCACAGGCATCGGCAGCATGCACCCCCGAGCCCTGCTCCTGCCCTCAGCCTACCTTGGGTGAGGGAGTACATCTCCCTGATGGTCTGTGTGGAGAGCTCCCGCAGGGGCTTCCCGCTGAGGCCGCCCGGCTCTGTGCGCTGCCCGCTCCGGAGGCTGCCGGGGCGGCTCACGGTGGTGTTGCTGACAATCAGCCCGTCCACACCTAGCTGAGGGCGGGGGGCAGCAGCATAAGAACACAGCTGCCACAAGCAGCTCCCCACTCTCACCCTCAGGCTGCCAGGCCAGGATGTAACCCACCAAGTGCCCCAGCAACATCCCTGGGGACAAGGCAGCTGCTCCTCACTGCCTGGACCATCCCCAAGGTCTGGGTGACACACACAAGCCCTCACGGACTCAGAACTGCCCAGGGCACCGTTCCCTACGGCAGCCAGAGAGCTTCGGGTCCGCTTGTCCCTTCGGAGAGGTGACGTGCCTGGAGCACCGCAGTCCTGCCCTGTGCCGTGCGAGGTGAGGCAAAAGGCGCAGCAGCCCAGCTCCTCACCATCCTCCCCTTCCCGCCTCCTCACCTCACAGACAACGCTAGCAATGTCCTGCTTGTCCTGCGCGGTGAGGTCGGGGGCGATCTTCACCAGCACGGCTGGCTTGCGCTCGCAGGGCAGCGCGTCCCTCTCCACCAGCACCTGCGGGGTCACGCGTGGGGACAGAGCAGCGCATGGTGGGGGGGTCCCTCCTGCCCACCCACCGCCGCAGGCAGCACAGGGACAGGCCCTGCTCTTCCTACATGGTGCTGACAATGGGATGGGCACCCTGCGGCACCGGGGCTGGGGCATACAACCAGCACAGGACCACAGCGAGTCCCCGTGCTGTGGGTGGGCGGCTCACTGACCCCTTACAGGAGCAGAGGCGGGGGCAGTGCCTCACTGCTCATATGCCCTTTGCTGAAGTACAGTGCCTCGGTGAGCCCCATGCCGGCAGCCGATCAGGCGACGTGTTGGTGGCTCTGCCCACCATGCTCCTCCCTGTGCTGGGGCAAACCCACCGGCTGGAGCAGAGGGGACGGGGTGCTTCCAGTGCTGGCAGCTGTGGTCTGGGCTGGCTGTGAGGATCACCCACCTTGGTCAGCAGGTCCCGTAGCTCAGCCTTGCCCTGCAGGTCCCGCAGCCCTGGGGTGTTCGGGCTCGACACATTCACAACCAGGTAGTCAGCCAAAGGGCCCAGCGTCCGGACTCCAGCCACATAGTCAGCTGCAGCATCGGTAGAGCTCTTGTTCTTGCCCAGGTTGACTCCAAGGGGCATCCCCTCTGGAACACAGGCACGGCTGAACAACTGTGCAACAGGAGCAACCACCACCCGAGGGGCTAGAGCGCTTGACAAGGGAGGCCCCAGGGCCAGCTGAAAGCAAGATGGGGATATGCAACCCACGTGTTTCACGGGGCTGGGCCTGGGACTGTCCTGCAGCTACAGAAGCATCACCACAGATGCCCCGGTCAGCACCACCCAGCACCGCAGCCTCCAGCCTGGCCGCCCAGCAGAAGCTGCCCTCAGAAACTGCCCAGCTGGGGCCCTCTTGGCTTTGGCTACTCTTAGCAGATGTGTCCTGCCCAAAGTGGCAAGCGGAGCCTCTACCGCAGAGGAGATGGCTGCAGAAGGGTGCCTGGTCACAGTCCCGAGGGGGAAAGGCTATGGCCCCCAGAGGGGTCCTGCTGTCCCAGTGCACCTTGCCCTGGCCAGGGCCCTCCCATGCCTGGACACTGGCGTTACACACCTTTCCTGGCCTACAGCTTGGAGACCCCCAAACCCACCCTGCAGACCCCAAGAGCAAAGGCTTATAAGCTTGTCTCACCACCAGTGAGCCTGAGCTGTGTCTCCTGGCGGGCCCGCAGCCTGCGTTCCACTGCAACGTGGCCATGGCTGTTGAATCCATACCTGCACCAGAACAGACACAGTTCAGGGCTTGACTGGTGTCTGCAAGCCCTGAGCAGGACACTGGAGAAACACGAGGGAGACGTGGTCTCTGCACATCCAACCCAAGAGCCACCCCAGCACAGACCAGAGCCGGGACCACCCAAATAAACCCCCTCTCTCCAGGCTGGCAGCCCATGGGACCTGCAGAGCACCTACCTGTTAATGACTGCCTCGTCCTCCACCAGCCGGAAGACCCTAGGTCTGGGGTTCCCCTCCTGGGGTTGGGGTGTGACAGTCCCTACTTCCACAAAGCCGAACCCCATCTTGTACAGCCCATCCACAGCCTCGCCGTGCTTGTCGAAGCCAGCCGCCAGCCCCACCGGGTTGCGGAACCGCTGCCCCAGGACTCGCACCTCCTGCGGGACAGGGCCGGGGGTCCCGCTCTGGCAGCCAGGAGGGCCAGAGCCCACTGGCAGCCAGAGCCTCGCCCCAGCCCCCGCCCCTCCATTCCCCCCATCCCGCAGGGTGTCCTCATCACATAGCGCTCCCCCCCCCCCCCGGGCCAACTCCTGGACCCCCACCCGCCCCAGGGGCCCTCCCGGGCGCCCGCACTGGCTGGCAGAGCTCATCGCTCCCCATGGACTCAGCAGATCGCGCTGGGACCCGGCCGCCTGCCCACCCCCCTCGGCCCTGCGAACCCACCCGCCGCCCCCCCCCCGCCTCGGCTGCCCACCGCGGCCACCCCTCGCCCCGATCCCTAACCACCCCCCGCCCCGGACCCTGACCCCCCCATCCACCCCGGCCGCCCCCCACCCCCGCCCCCGCTCCGCACCAGCGCGGGGTCGTCGGGCCGGGGGGGTGGCAGCAGCCCGAGGGCGGCAGCGCGCAGTGCCAGGCCGTGGGCGGCCTCGGGGGGGAGGACGCGCAGCGCCGGCGCCGCCGCCGCACAGAGCCGCTCGTCGCCCGCCGCCAGCGCCGAGCCCAGCAGCAGCCCGCAGCCGCCCAGCGCCGCCGCCAGCGCCCGCAGCCGCCCCTGGGCGAGATCGTCAGCAGCTCGCCCGCCGCCCGTACCGACCCCGGTACCGACCCCTCACCCCGCCCGCCGCCCGTACCGACCCCGGTACCGACCCCTCACCCCGCCCGCCGCCCGTACCGACCCCGGTACCGACCCCTCACCCCGCCCGCCGCCCGTACCGACCCCGGTACCGACCCCTCACCCCGCCCGCCGCCCGTACCGACCCCGGTACCGACCCCTCACCCCGCCCGCCGCCCGTACCGACCCCGGTACCGACCCCTCACCCCGCCCGCCGCCCGTACCGACACCGGTACCGACCCCTCACCCCGCCCGCCGCCCGCCCGCCCCCCACACCGGCACCGGCCCCTCACCCCGCCCGCACCGGCCCGTCGCTCAGACCGGCACCCCGCCCGCCTCCCACACCGGTATCGGTATCGGCACCGGCCCCGGCCCCGGCCCCTCACCCCACCCGCCGGCCTTCCCGCCACCAGCCCCCCCGGGCCCCCCCGCCGGCCGCTCACGCGCAGCGGCCCCGCCATCTGCTCAGCCCGACACGTGGAGGGGCACTTCCGGGAGCCCGCCCCGATGATTGGCGGAGGCTGGGCCCTCTCAGCCAATAGGGGCGGGGCAGGACTCGGGGCGGGGGCGGTGCTTGGAGCGAGACCGCCCTGACCCCGCCCCCGGGCGGGCGGGGGGCGGAGCTGGAGCCCACCCACGGCGGGGGTCAGGTTGGAGGGGTCCCGCCCCCGGGCGGTGGAGCAGGAACGGGACACCGCCCATGGGAGGGGCTCGAGGGGCGGAGCTGTAGCGGGGCCCCGCCCACGGGGGGGTGGGACTCCAGGGGCGGAGCTGGCGCGGGGCTCCGCCCCCGGAGCACGTGCAGCCAGGCACCCTGCAGCTCAGGCCCACGTCCCGCGGGGGGGCAGAGCCCCCCCAGCAGCGCCCACGGGGCACCGCCACAGCCGGCAACAGGGGGCCAACCCTGTGCAACACCCCCAGCACTGTCCCACAGCCCCCTCGCACACAGCCACTCACAAGCCCAGGCTTTATTAGGAACCAACCCGTAAGATACAAATCAAAAACTCCAACATAAAGCCGTGTGAAAGAGTTATGTACAGGTCTGTCACAGAGAAGAGCGCACGTTCCCCGCAGCAGCAGCACTGGCTGCTGGCACCAGCCCCCCCCCCCCGAGCACTCTGCCGGCACTCAGCCCAGGCTCGCCCATCCCCTTGCTCAGGGGTGAGCAAAGCTGCGGCTGCCGATCCCGGCGGAGTCCCCCTGGCCCCAGCTCTCCCTGCACCTCCAGCACCCGTGAGGAAGGGGCTAGTGCAGCCAGCCCACGCTGTGGCACCCCGCTATTCCTCTACCCAGCCAGCTCGCACTCCCAGCAGGATCAGGCAGAACATGCCACTGAACAGGAAAATACAGTGACGCCCTCCTGCAAAAAGACCCTCGCCAGCAGGAAGGCAGCGAAGGCCACAGAGGGCTCCCCAAGAATGCAGCGGGAGCGGAAGAGGACATCAGGCAAACTGCACCCAGACAGAGCTGCAGCCAGGGAGATGGCATGTCAGTGTACTGCACAGCCTCAGGGGCAATGCCACGTCTCCTCATGACTGTATTCCCCACCTCAGCCCGTTATCTAGAAGTCTTACCAAAGGGACCTAATCACCCTTACCATACAAGCCACAAGAGCAGAGAAGGGCAGCTTGCAGGTGATGCTGCCTTTGAGACCACCATTGGAGAGGAGAAAACCCTGTCCCATTGCAGCCTCCACCTCCCTTCTCTGGGAGGGGACACTTAGAGCCACTGTGGAGACAGCCAGAACATCAAGCACAGCTCTGTTGTAGAGCTACCCAGACTGACAGAAGCTGTTCCCTGCTCCAGTCTCACAAGATTCCCCACAGCTCACCTACTGGAGCAACAAAAATCAGGAAAGTGGCAGCACTTGGTTTAAGTACAGTAGGAAGAGAGCTCAAAAAGAAGAGCAAATTCATCTGAGATTAATGCAGAAAAACAGTTTCAAGGGAAGTCTATGTTTCAGAAAGAAGAAGCTGTCACAACTCCTGCCCCTCACATTGGAGTTACAGTTCGGTCAGTTTTATGTTTTCTTCTTTAGCTCTTCAAATCTCCGTGAAAGATCATCAAAGTCAATGTCTTCAGAGGCAGAAGAGTTGGCGCCGGCAGATGCTGTTGGCAGCGTATCGGGCACGGATGGTAATTCAGGCAGCACAAAGGTATCAATGGTATTAGGAGCTCCAGCTCTTGGTTTAGGAGAAGCTTCTGACTTGGGTCCGGGCCCTATGTAGAGTAAGAGAAATATAATTTCACCTCACCATCATCACACACTCATCAGGCCAAACAGAGCCACACGAAAGGAAGGTCGTTCTACCAAAAAGGCTGTACCAATGTATTTTTCTGAACAGGACCAGTGCTCACGTACCTCTAACTGCATGTAGACTCAATGGGGAACAACACGTTTCAGGTTTATGTGGCTGCAAGGGGCTGCAGCGATGGAAGATCTACACCGGTGACCCTATGCTATGGCTGCACCAGACAGTGCAAGATCCCCCTCCACTGTCCACAGACAGCTGCAGGTGGGCTGAAGCTGCCACATGCCTATACAGGCTGGACTGCATCATGGGGATTCAAAGTCCCAATTTTCTCCATTCCGACACCTGCAGTCACATGCTGTCACCCGGCTGTCAAACTGAAGCATACAGCCAGATCCAGGGCACCCACAGACCTATTTCCTTCAGGACACATCAACACTCCCCAGAAGACTCCATCAGATCATCAGAAATCCTCGCTGGACCCAGCAAGGGTCTACTTACTCTAAAAACCCTCTCTGCCCTTATCAAGTCCTAGACACCAAGTGCTTTCAAAACACACAGAGCATAATGACACTGTACAAGGCAGGACAATTTTGTTATGATCCAATTACAATGCACGAAGCACCTCATAAGCCTTTAGGCAGCTGGACCAAGGGATAACAGCTATCTCTACTAGTCCTGCTCTGCCATATGCTGCCTCAGCACTGACATTAATAAAAACCTATCTACCCTCTTAGTGCTTACTTCTTTCATTCCATCGCTGCAGATCAATATTATTTACACCCTGTAAAAATATATTATCACTTAGAGCTGTTGCTTTCTCACTTTATCCTGCAATGCCCTATACTTGATCTGATGAGACAGCTTAAGCTGGAGACCCAGTTCTGACTCTGAAGTCAGACTCTAGTTTTTTAGTTATCCAGTGGAAGTCTGAATCCTCCCTGTTTTGAGGGCATACTCCCCATTTCCATCAGAGTCCTCTCCAAACGCAAATCCTGTCAAGTTCTACACATTGCTCCCTAGATGGAAAGCTTCCTCCTAGAGACACTAGGACCCCAAGCTAACCAGAGGCCCAACCACCGTAGGTTTCCCATACCTCTTGACATACTCACCAGCCACCGGTGCAGAAGCGTCCTTGTCAGCATTAGGCTCATCAATCTGAAAAAGACTCTCAGTGACTACAGCTCTCTCCCCTACCAGGTACAGAATCACATAGGTGCGTAGGCACTGCTCATGGGCAACAGCAGCCACACTCATGCAGAGCAATGCATACCCCACTCCCCCCCAAGAAGGCAGGCAACCCTGGCTTCTAGCACACTCAGAAGAATCTTCTCCTCTTGCCCAAAAAAGGAGGCAGTGCTTTGATTTTCCTTTTCCTCCCTGTCAAAACAGCTTCACTGGCCATATTCTGGAACTGAATAAACAAAGCATATCCACCAGCAGGTCTGAAATATTTATCAAGGACATCAGTGGGAGAAGACTGCACTCTTCATCCACATAACCACACCTACAGCCTCCTTTCTTTCATACACAATAGACGGGTCCCTGTAATCAGTAGCAAGGTACAAAATGACTCCATCTCAGGTCTTGGTCTGGTTGGGACAAAGGCCCATGGCCTGGTCATTTGTGCTCATATAACTCCTCATCCCCAGTGGGCTGCAGTCAGTGACATCCATCCCCACCCATCTAACAACTGCTGTATCTGTGCCTGCATCTCCTGGACTCAAAAGCTGCTGTGCAGCTAGTACAAGGTGTTACCACATATAGGTGCTTGGCTATGCTCATCCCTACTCGGGGTACTGCAAAACCAAGATGCATGTCACTGAAAGCAAAGCGGGAGGCATGATCATGAACTGCAGCAAGAAAAACATGGACAAGTGTAGAAAGAGAAGATTCCAGCCTCTCCTTCGTTGTCCCTAAGGACTGAGAAAAGTCCGGGAAAGGAATAGTGTTTAAACATCTGGGTGAGCCAAAACTGTCATCCAGGCTAACTATGAATTAGTTCAAAAGCCATAATTAAAAAGACTGAAGTTGATAAAACCTTCACATTCCAAAATAACTGAATTTGTGGACTCTGCTGGTTAGCTGCTTATCACCATTTTAACAATGTAGTAAAATAAATCTTGTCTTTCCTTTGAAGCCTAAACACAATTGAATGAGCAACTTCTCACAAGTCATCACTCCATCACATGCACTCAGTGATTCACCACACCCGTAAACAATGTCAAGCACCACCCCAAAAGCTCCAGAGGTTAACAGCAATGTGCTTAATGAACATTTGCCTTTTCTGTGGCTACCACTGCCCTCTTTTTGAGGTTATCTCTGATGACTACAGTGGTGATTCAGCTCAGGCACTTACAGACTCGTATGTTGGTGGAGTGGCTGGAATTGGTGGTGGATGGATATTAGTGAAAGGCTGGTAGGTCCCCACTGGTACGCCATTGAAGTTCTCCTGTGCAGAGAGATTACAGTCATGCACCAGACTACTCACCTGGGAGAGCAAGCATGGGACACAATACACCTACAGCTGATACAGGAGTCAGAGAAAGTAGTATAAGACAAATGCAGTAAAGTATCCAACCCGATATAGTTTACACTTACTGGGAAAATAGTATTAAGTCGAATGTAGTGACCTGGAGCAACCAGACCCAGCTAACAAAACTGTGGGTTATTCTACAAAGCCTGCATGACTTGAATACTTGATCTTTCAGGGCATGAGAAGTACCAAGACAAAATGGGTAATACCCTGCATTAAGCACACCTGAGCCATTTCTCCTGAGTGCAGCATCACAAAACAGAAAGGAGGTCTCTGGCTCACTTGAGACTTTGTATTACCCTCACTTGTAACACAACAGTGCCTGAAAGACCTAGACTCGGCACAAGTCCTCAGCATATTTATGTCCGGGCCTTCAGCTAGATGATGATACTTGGCCCAGAAGGCAGAGAACAGTGATCTTTTCAGCTCCCACTTTCCACTCCTGCAACAAATCATCTCCAAGAGCCATTGGCCCGGTCCCCTTCCTGTGCAGGGTCACATTTTTTTGTGCTGCTCCCACCCCATAAAACTCACCTGATTTCCTTGACTGAATCTTGGCACACTACCAGCCTACCAACTCCAAAATGCAGTTCCCAACCAACCCCTGGTCAAAAGCATGGCAGTCAGAACACTGCCTCCAGCCTTAAGTCTACACTCCTCTGTTCCGTGAAGGCAAAGAGGGCTGACTGGAGAACAGGGGTAGGAACCCCCACAGTCAAGAAACAACATGAAGTTTCACCTGCATCGCCAACCAGTTCCATCCTATGCAGTCAGTCTCACACCAACACGACGGCCTTCTGACACATCAAGCTATCTGTTACAGACACTTCCCTGTCAGCAGGCACAGGGCTAAGCGCCACAATCAGAGTCTTCCACAGAAAAAGGAAATGCTCAAAGCAAAGGTACTTACTGGTCCCTTTGGAGGCGGATAAGAGAAGGGCGGATTTGGTGTTGGCATAGGCATAGGCATCATCACTGGCATGGGTACTATTCCATCATGACCAAGCAGCGGGGCTGTAAATCCACCACCTCCTCCCCCTCCGTGGCCACCCTTCTTCACATCATCTGTGAATCCTACATCAATCAGATCTGCCTCTCCGCCTGCAGGGGCTTCGGCCTGGAGAGGGCAGAAGAATTCTGCTCACCAACACATCTCTATTCTGATCACAGCCCTCTGAACAGCATCAGATGCAGCATTTGTCACTGAATAAGATGGGACAGAGCACAAAAGAGCTATACAGTGATATTAATGGGAATCAGAAAGGGAACCAGACTATAGCATGACTAACTGGCCACATGACGTAGGGCTCTGGGAACGAGCAGGGATTGTGCTATACTAGGACTGTCTAGAAGATACCAAAGCACAATTACCACTGAGTTCGCTGCAATGCCACAGCCCTGTGCTCTGAAAGCCTGACAGCACTAACGGGACATTTCAGCCACTGGAACACAGAAGGGAGCTCCAGACTTGCAGGTTCCTCACTCACCATCACCACTGAGTCAGGCTCATAGGGCACATTGTAGTTCTTGGCAATCTCGATGAGGTATCTCTCCACCAGAATCTTGGGCGGTGCCTCCACGCTCAGCTTGTGCATCAGCTGGAACACAAGGGTGCACAGACACTCAGTGGGACTGGGGCAGCGCAGTGCAGCAGAGCCCTATGCCAGCCAGGGCCATCAGCTGTAGGGAGTGAGGCCTCTCCTCCCAATACAGCACTGCTGCAGAGGAGGCTGCTGGCAATCACAGCCCAGGGCTCCATGCACTCTGCTCCTCTCCATCCGCAGCCAGCACAGGAGGGCCCTGCCTGCCAGAGATCTCAGCACTGTGCTCTCATGCTCCAATGCAGACAGGACCCCAGCAACACAGCTGGCCCACCCTACTCTGCAGTGAGCCACAGGCACCAGCCACTGGCCACAGGAAAAAAGGGCAGAAAGCCACAGCAGGCTTGTCTGTTCTGCCAGCTCCAGCTTGCTGCAGCTGTCCACCAGTTCATTACCCTGTCATTGACTGTCCCAATCTGGTTTGTCCGGCACAGCTTCCCATACTCCTTGCTGTACTTGGCACACAGCTGATCAGCAACCTGCAGCAGGAGAGAAACTCTGGGAAAGTGCACACCCTTGCTTTCCCCCACCACACACTGCACATCTGCTGTAGCCCCTACAGCTGCCTACCCCACCCCAATTGCCCACATTTCTGCCACTGAGAGCCCCGGCTGAGCAGCCTTAGCCATCCCCGATGCTCCAGGGACACCTACACTGGGGTATCCATCTGAAGAGCCCATAAAAACATGTTATTTGCCTTAATGACAGCCTCCCAAAGGCCTCCACTAGCTTCTGGCAGTGTCAGACCCACCCCGCATGCATTAATACCCCTCAAACAACCCTACTCACAATCTTCAACTCAGCCACTTCCGACTGGAGTCGTGGTGCAGCCCAAATCAGTGTAGATACTGCTTCTGCCAGGCCAGAGTCCAGCTCCCTAATGGCAACAGAAGACAATCCTATCTCCACACCAAGCACCTAGTCTTTGCCACCCTCAATCTGCTTAGCCTGAAAGTCCCCATCCTCCGTGCTGGGCTCCAGAGCCTTCCCTCCCTGGGGAAGAAAAGATCTCTGGAGGCCCTAGGACACCAAAAGAAACACAGGTGCCCTTCTGTACTCTAGGCCTTCCCCCAGCAGTAGCCCTCCCTGAGCCCGGGGGCCTGGACCCTCTCCCACAAGATACCATCTAGGCCAGAGCTTACTTCATGGACTGAATCAAGCCAAAGCGGGCTAGCAGCAGATCACAGTACAGCTCCAGGATCTCCATGGCCTCCACAAGGTAATCTTCACGGATGATGTGCTCCACACGAATCCTGGCGCGCTCATCTTTTCCAGCTGCCAGATAATCTGCAATCTCCTTCCTTGCCTTCTGGGCCAACTCAGCTACAGCACATATGCCCCAAGGCCAGTCACTGTAGTGGCAGGGGCTTCTGCCTCCATGCCCGCCCACAGTTACCATCACAAGCTTCTCCCTCGCCTTCATAGAGCCTCTGCAACCCAGGGCACTCAGCCATGGCTTGGTGGAGCCCTTGTGTCTAGGTCCTAGTGCACTAACCCACAGGACAAAGGAGAGTGGGCTTTTAGCTGCCAGAAACACTCCTACACCTTCAATTTCCCTGTAGAGCCAATCAGAACCAAGGATCTTATCTGCGTCTGGGCAGGGCAGGACAGCAGAGGTGCGGAGGGCCTCCCACAGCACCCAGTGAGTTTCCTAATACACTGTGAACACAGAAGGCCCAGGAAAGGCCCCGCAGGTAAACTGTCATGTCCCTCCATACACAGCCCACAGCTGCCACCCCATGCACCCCATAAATTGCCCTCTGACACCTGCCAGGAAGATGAACAGAAGCCCTGCTGTTGCCAGCCAGCTCCTTCTGGGTAGTCGTGCATCGGCACAACCTGCAAGGCCTGGGTCCAGCAAGGAAGAGCAAAAGACTACTCCCTGCTCAGCCCTGACTCCAGAAAAATCTTCTCCTCGATTCTCCTGAGCCCTAAAAGCATCCTGGGTCACACATGCCCCCTCAAATACTTACTCTTCTTCTTCTCCAGCAGTTTGAGGCGATTGATGACAAGACGCAGGTTGACTCGCAAGCGCTCAGCTTTGAACCCAGAGCCCAACATGATAAACGCTTTCTGTGGAAGAAGAGAGGAAGGTCATTGGAACCAAGAGCTATTGGTCAGAAAGACAGCAGTCACTACTTTACTTGGGGGCAAAAAAAAATCCCAAGCCAAATTCCCCAAACAGTCACAGGCCTGCTATTCCTGAATCCGGTTATTTACAAATGACTGGACCTACAGTACTCATCATTCTCCCTCCCACTTTACAACTCTGCACCTAAGCAAGGCCAACAGGGAACAGAAACTTCCTGGATGTTCCCATTCTGATAGACTGAATCTCAACCCCAGAAACAGATGTAAGCTGATAAAGAACCGGGACTACACCATAAATAGGAACGGGGTTAGAAAACATATTCTAAAATAATAAGTTAAAGGCCTGGGTCTATTTAATCTCAGTAAGCGACACTACCACTGATGTGAATAGCAGAGCACAGTGAAGTTTTAAGAATGTTAGACAAACATCTACCAGCAGTGGTCTAGGAAAATATGATTGTGCCTCAGTTCTGTAAGCTGAGCTGACTGAGATGGTATTATGAGGTTCCATTCAGCCCCAGATTTTTTTGTGTAACAGCTGTATAATTACCCCAAGGACTGTACAAACTAAGGCTGTAACAGTCCTGCCATCAGAAGGAAAAAGTTGCCATTCCACATTCCCCCCCAACTCTTCCTGCTTACTGAACACATGCTCTGGCATATCTCCAGTGTCTCATGAGCCAGTTCAACTCAGCCCTACTGAAAGCTAATTAAAAAGACATTTTATTACAACATTTTGTTATGCCACAGACTGTTGATTTAAAAATGCTTCCACAAGAGCTATCACACAGAAAGACCTCAATTTGTACCTGAAGGGCACATTGGAGCAGACTTTTGGACAGCAATAGTATTTTGTATATAACAAGTGGCTTACATAAGATTTATTATCATCTAGAGTATATCCAGTTTACTTAGCTGATCCATTCACACATCAATACAGTAATTTCAATGACGCACAGAACCAATCAAGCTCAAAAAACATTCCTACAAAAATATGTATGTCTGATGCCAGAAGAAGTAATTTTTTCCCTTCTGTGATTGGAACATACTCCTACAATATTAAAATAACTTTACAAGAAACCTTCTCAGTGCGAGTTGCAATGCCTCTGTAAAAGGACCTATTCAATGACTATTCTGATTAACAACTTGTATTAACAGATTCATTAAAAAAAAAAAACAAAACCAGCCTTTAAGTAGCAGCCACCTCACCAGCCATTCTTTCACAACCACCTTGCTGTCGTTCTAAAAAGTTCTGTTGCCCCCACTCCTCCGCATAAGGTTCTCAGCCACGCTGCTACACAAAGGCTAATCCAATTTTTCCTTCCCTGTACCTCGCCTTCCCATCCGTCCCTGCAGACGGGCTGCGACTCCGACCAAACCGAAACGAACCTTTACGCGTACAGCAGGTAATTAGCCTGTCGCCAGGGCGGTTTCCAGGTGCGCCAGCCAGCCGGCGAGACCCGCCGAGCAGCCCCAAGGCCGGGGCTCGTTCAGCGAAGCGCACAGCAGGCCCCGGGATGGCTTTACCGGCGCGGCTGTACCCCGACAGGGCTGAGGGGGAGATACCCCTCACCCCCCCGCCGCCGCCCTCAGCGAGCTGGCGCCGACAGCAGGTCCCCCCGCGCGGGCGGAGCAGCGCGGACCCCGGGGCCGCCCTCAGCCCCACCAGCGGGCGCCCAGGGCAAGGCACCGCCTCCCGCCAGCGCCCTCGGGGCCGCCGAGCGCGCCCCGCCGCCCCGAACGCGGCCGCCCCGCCGCAGCCCCGCTCACCGCCCGCGCAGGCCGCGGTCACCCAAAATGGCGGGCCGCCGTGCGCATCGCCGCATCGCGTGCGGAGGGATCCGCGGGGGTCGGCGCTCCCGGCTCCCGCCCCGGGGCGCCCCCGCGCTGGCGCGGCGCCACGGCGGCAGGTCCGCGCGAGGCTCCCGCCGCACCGGCGCCCCCGGGAAGGGGCGGCGGCGGCACGAGCGAGGAGCGCGGCGCCGAGGGACTAAATGACCCAGCGGAGGTATCCCGTTCGCGTGAGTGCGGCGGCCGTGCCTGCGGCAGGCGCCCGCCGGCGCCCGCTCCCCAGCGCGGAGGTTCCGGCGGCACAGCGTTCCGCCCGGCTCCTCGCCCTCAGCCCCGCCTCTACGGGCGGCAGGAGCCGCGGGGCGGGGGGTCTCGGGTCTCTGAGGGCCGGGCGGCGGCGCCAGGGAGGGTCGGGCTGGGGCTGAGCTCGGCCCCAGTCCCGGGGGCTGCGGTCCTGCCACGGGTGAGCTCCAGGCCGTGGCCGCAGCGCTGGGGGCACCGCTCTGGGGTGCAGTTCGCTTCTAAGCGGGTGCGTGAGTTCGTAACGCGCGTGGCGGCTTTTAAATGAATGGTAAAATCGTGGGTTTTGACCTTGCAGGGGAAACGAGATTCTGGTGAGCTCGGGTGACACAGGGGCAGCCGCTTCCCGAGCCGGGCGTGGGGAGAGGCAGCTGCCGGCGGAGGGGGCCGGCGGCCGGCGCCGCTGCCCGCCGGGGTACGCGAGGCCCACAGCTGGCACGAATGATCTTCTTCGGGTGCCCAGGAGCCGCTGGCTGGGACGGATCCATGAAAAACAGGTGAGACGCTTCAGATCATGACAAGCTGTCATCCGGGGTCTGCAGAGGAGCTCTTTGACAGCCAGCACGGCACTGCCGTCACCGGGCCGGGGGGCTTCCCGGTGGCTTGCCGTGTCGGGGGCTTCCCGGGGCCGTGCCTGTGCCTGTGCCCGCGCCCGTGCCCGCGCCCGCGCCGCGCGCTCTGGCGGCGCCGCCATCTTGCCCGTCTGTCTGTCCGGCGGCCCTTTGTCTGTCTGCGGCTCCCCGGCGCCTGCGGCGGGACCGGGTAAGGCGGGCCGGGCTGCGGCCGTCCGCCCGCGAGGGGCGGGCCGGATCCCGCCGTCCGCCCGAGGGGCGGCAGCGTCGGTCCCTCTGCCTGCGAGGGGCCGGCCCGGGCTGTCTGTCTGTCCGGGCTGTCGGGATGGGTCCCTCGGTCGTACGTCGGCATCCACGGGGGCCCGGGCTGGGCTCCTCCGTCCCTCGGCCGGGGCAGTGGGGTCTGTTTGCCAACTGTCCGTTTGCTCGTGGGCTGGATCCCTCCCGCTGCTGCCTTCTGCGTGCGGGACAGCCGGGTGGATCCTGCTGTCGGCGGGAGGGTGATGGAATCCCAGTGCCTGCCCGTCTGAGGAGGGCGACGGGATCCCCGTGTCCATCTGTCCGGGGCAAATGAGTTCAGCTCCTCCTTTTGTCTGTCTGAGGGGACTGTTGGGATTGATGCCTTCCTCTGTCAGCCAGAGGACGAGGAGTCGATGTTTCTGCCCCTGCACGGTTTGAGGGGGTCAGTGTGTCCCCACCTGTGAGGGGCGAGGGGGATGCATCCCTCCCTGTGTGAGGTGGGGTGTGGTGTTCCCCCCTGTGTGAGGGCAGGCGGTGTGTCCCCACCTGCCTGTCCCCGGCCCTGCCTGCCCAGGGAGGTCATGGCAGCAGGGAGGGTGCAGCAACCCTGCTGTTCCCCTCTCCCTCTGCCTGTCTGCGAGGGCAGGGAGGTCAGTAAATTTGAGGGGCGTCTGTCTGGGCCAAGACCTGTCCCTGGGCTGGCCACACCATCCCATCAACAGCTGCTGCCATGCCTGGAGCTGTGACCGTAGAGCGGCCGGTTCCCTTGTCTGCCTGGTTATCCAGAGCCCGACGCCAGCCTTCTGGGCATGGCGGGGCCCTGTGTCCCCTCAGTCTCTGAGTGGAGGGCCAAAGGTAGGGCAGCAGGGTCTGCAGGTCTGATTGGGCTTTTACCCTATAAGCCATGGGAATGTACAGCAGGGAGAAAGGCGTTTGGCCTGAGATTGCAGGCACTCTTGAAGCGGGCCTCGTAGCTTTTTGTATGCAGGGGACTGGATGGCTTTTAACTTTGCATGAGAACGGGGTGTGACTGCCCATACACAGTGGTTTGTGAATTGCTTGTGGATTGTGTTGAATGCTGGCCCTGAATATGGCTGTAGTAATGCAGAATGAGCCCTGTAGGCAGAAGGGTGGGAATTGACCCTGAGACAGCCAGCTGCATTTGGCCAGAGGCTGGGAAGGTTCCAGTGATGTGCGTGACAGGCTCTTCTCTTCTCAGGTGAGCCCTCTGCTGAGGGAACGAACACTCTGTGCTCCCAGGTCAGGGAAACATGTCCCGTCGGAAACAGACCACTCCTAACAAAGTTCACTGTGAGTATTACGTTATACAGCATTGTGGGATCCTTGCCCTAGCTGGATTGTTGTGGAGTGAGATGGGGAGGAGGGGAATGATGAAAAAGTACAGTTTGTGAGGGAATGGTGGCTACTCACGTTTTGTCTTAGGGACTGTAAGAAGAGAAACTGAGCTCTGTGCATCAGGGGAGCTGTCTGTGTCCTGGCATGGCAGGACAGGGATAGGCTTGAACAAACAACTAATGATATAAAGGTAGGTGTATATGTGCAGGGCCTGTAGCTGTGCTTTGCATTCACACTGTCACAAGTGCAAGTTTGTATACTAAGAAATGTGACTTTGGGGCTCTGGCCCATCTTGGGTAGCAAAGGAAGTTCTAGGCAAGGTGGTTTGAGTGTGTGGCTGAAAGCCAGGAAGTCCTGGGTTCTGACCTTTGCCCTACCACAGACTCAACTGACTGGCCTTGGACATGTTACTCAAGCTCACTGTACCTCAGTTTCCTACCATATAATGTAAATAAAGCCATCTGCTCTTTCCTTGCAGGGAATGGGCAGTGGCTAAGTAATTTACTGGGCAGATAAATGCTATCTGTCAGATCATTCTTGAGCTGAGCTGACAGGACAGATCTCTCTTTCTCCAGCACTGTGGATACCCTGGCATTGCTTTGGTAGTGACATGGCTGAAGATGCTGTACATCAGCACTTCTTGTGGGCAGGCTACAGCAAGATGTTAGTGGAGCTGAGAGACGTGTATGGATGTTTGGCTGCAATGGGGAAACTGCACATATACGGCTTTTGTTTGACTGATTGCAGCAGTGGGAAGTCGGGGGGGACTGAAGATAAGCCCTTGTTCGTACCCAGCTTTGTGACACGTCTGGAATTTGGGCTGGAATGAGGAAAACAAATTTCCACTTCTGTAGATGTGTGAAAGTAAGGCTGATGAGAGGGCCCTAGGTATTACTAAGCTGTAGTAGCTGTCAGGAGTATGGGACAGAGAGCTGAATGCTACAGCCCTAACACTGCCTCACTTTGCTGATGCTGCTGGCTTGCATGTCTCTGTGTGTTTCTCTGTGCTGCCTTTTTGTATGGGTATGGCAACAGGAATCTATGCATGCTGTTCTCTGTCCTAGGAGAAAATACTCTGTGAGATAGCCCAACGCTTTGCACACTCAGTATACCGGGGAGAATTACGTCTGTTTGGGACTTGAAAGAGCCGTTGGCTGCTAGAGCTAGGCATGGGAGAGCTGACAGAGCTTTCCTTGGTGGCCAGCATAAGAGTCTTGAGGCATGGCTTTTGGCATCTGCACTGACTTGTGCTCTCCAATTCCTGCTTCTGAGTGCTGGGTTCAATAGTGGGGAGAGTATATCCTGATAGTATATTAATGACTTTGGAATTGTCTTCCTTAGAGAAATTTGTTATGTCTTGTGTTTTGTCCTATGATGCCAGTAACACATATTGTGCCCATACACTTTTGCTTCTGACAGTGCCCAGATATTACTGCTGCCATTTAGATCAGACTTGTATAAGGCATGCACTTACGTTGTCTCCCCTGGTGTAGAGTCAGGGTCTCTCATGTATGGAATCCGAGGGGTACAACAGCTCTAATGGTGCAGGTGGAGTTTCCATGGTGTTTAGGTGGGCTATTCTCTGCACTCCACTGTATAAGGATTACGTTCTTCAGAAGCTTGTACTATTATATACAAAACTATACATATTATGGAGTTCAGATATGCACTATTTTCACAGTGAACATTGCTTTTTTTTTATCTGCAATACAAGTGATTGTATCTCCAGTTTTGGTCTCAGAGGAAGCTCTCTGACAAACATGCTACCAGTGGGCATGAGGTTGAGGTTATGGCATCTGGTATGTCATGGAGAGGAATTCTGGGACCTGTTCACCTCCTTTACATGCAGTACATTGCTACAGAGCAACTATTCAACAGGAGCCATCAGGAGCAGCAAGTAGGACCACAAGAAAATAAAGGGACTCAAAGATACAAGAAAGATGTCAATGGTGATGTCTCCACCTTGGGACGGAAAAATCTTGTCTGTCTTATGATGAACACCACCGAACCGTTGGGACTTCTGTCTACCTAGCCTGCTGTGTATCTGGAGGGCCCAGAAATGCCATGCAGTGCACTGACGAGGATAATCGGAGAGAGCATCAGCTCCAAGAACTGGGTGAGCCAGCAGAATGAGGAGTCAGGCTGAGACATAGCAGACACATTACTGAGACTTCTTCACAGGGACTGAAGTGGTTGGGAGGAGAGGAATAAAAGGGACAGCAGGTATGCAGCTTTTCATGCAGTTGTCTGCAGCTGGGGTCTGATTTGGCAGGCTATGGGGCTGGGGAAGTGCTTTCTGGATTTGCATAAATACCACTGTGAATATCTAACTGAACAGATTTGTGGGAGGATGGTGCCTACTTCTTCCTTGCATGGCCACTCCACGTTATCTTCTTTCTTGGATTCACTAGGGCAAGCAACAGCTGCAGATCTCCGCTCCCTGGCTTGCTTGGTGCCACCT